TGATGGAAAGTAGGGAGTGGGGAATGGAGTGTGAGTGTGGTGGTGGAAGTGGAAAAAACAGTATTCGAGTTCGTACACACTTGCATTTTTTATGTTACTATTATTGATTAATGACTTGTGGGAGACGATGCTCTCGTCGAAATAAACAAATACTCACAAAGTATCTTGAAAGTAATCAATATCAGATTTTGCAAAGAAGGTTGGATTCTGAAGACAGTTATTACTTTGTGGGTATCATAATATTGTTGAGGGCTAATCACTTCACCTCATTCTCCTGGATAGGGGCAATTTTCAGTAAATACAGCGTCATGAAGGTGGAGACCACTTGCTTATAAAAGTCACGTACAAAATATAGTTGTTCAGGGTAGTCGTTGGTGTTTTACATCCTAATCGACACATGTTAGATAATCCTGGATCCAGGTTACTTTGACTCAGTCTTTCAAGGCCAACCCGGGCAAAGAGGGATACATCACAGACAGAAATACTCGATTTAAAAAAGAAAACCATCTACGCGGGACTTGAAGCTACGTCTTCTACACGCGACGGTAAAGCGAAGAACCGCCATACCACAGACGATGGTTTTCAAAATTTATTGAAATATTTATCATTGCAAGAAGAAGGCAAATGGAAAAGAATGTTACAGAAATCAGACTTCTGAAAAAACGTACTCACCTTCTTCATTCTCACACACTGAGTTCATGGAGCCCACAGAACAGCTAAGGTCTTTGTCACACGCGTTGCTCAGCTTAAAAATAAAGACAGAAGGCATGGGTTACATCTTTAGTTAGTTTTAGTAGAAGTTTTACGGCGCCCACAACTGCATGAGGTCATATGAGCGCCAAGGGGTGGATTTCAACAGAGAAGTCCTTACAGGGAATCAGACTTACTCAGCTCACCTCCAGTGGCGGTGGGTGGACCAACATTTTGGTGGGGCTTAGGTTGCTTCCAGTTCTTTACCACCAAATAACAAGCAATAAGAATTAAACAGTGATGATTTTTCTATAGTCACGGTTAGCCACGGCATTTTGAGAACCATTCAAACGAGAAGAGTTACCTTTGTTTTCCATCTCATTGTTCTTAGTTAAGTTCTTGTTGATGGTGGGGACGAAGCCGATTCACCTCCAAATTTCCTCTAATTAGTTTTTGTGTGATGAAAAAGTTGCCTTACAAGTAGTTCGACCTGATTTATAACTGTTAAATCTCACCAGCGCCACAAACACAAACATGCACACACACCAATTCAAACATAATACTTCTATGAGCTGGATTAGGCCGTGTAGTCGAGAAAGTTGAACGCACCCAGCAAAAAACCAATGAGCGTATAGGTATCTGTGTCAGTGGGGGGAAGTGTGTCGTAAACTTTCACCCTCAGTACAGTGTTATTTTTTCCCAGTCTTCTACCTTTTTACAAGAAGAGTTTCATTAAGGACAGACTGTGGGAAAAGGGCTCATCTTTGATCAGCCCTAAAGACATTTGATTGGCTGCGGGGTTACTATAGTTGTTAGCGGTGACAACAGTGATTGGATAAACGGGCAAGGCGCCAAGTTGATCACTCTGTGTTCATTGCGTGCAGTCATAACGGTTTCAACTGCTTATTTCATTATGGACAAACTTTCATTTACTTTGGGATAGAGTTGGGGGTGGTGGGTGGGGAGGGGGTAGGGGCTCAAGCCCGTGAGCCCTTTACTACCCACCGCCACTGCTCACCTCTCTATCTTCAACAGCACAAAGTCTGCTTCGACTATCAAGGCACCCCGGAAATAGCGGGTCACAAGAGTGTGACAAATATACAAAATAAGAAGAGGAAAAATGACAATAGTAGGGATTAGGAAAGAAAAATCAGCAGTTCCCTGTTGTAGATCAGGCACAGTTATGAGCGTGACATTGAAGAATCAGCCCATTTTCCATTATACTGTGCATGAACGAGAAATGTCCCCCTTTGGGTATGGCCTAAAGACACTTCAGTCAGTCGCAACGCCCCCGGCGGGGTATGGGTTACATCATTTTGTGACACATGCGCTTTAAGAATACTGGCTAAATACCATCAATTTGTCTACCGCCAAAAGCATTTAATTTCGTGTCACAATGCGGTGAAAGCAGGCGCACGCCAATTTTTTGACATACAGAGTTATTAATATCATCCTAGAGCTGGTTCATTTGTCTTGCCTTTGCCGAAAATTATATCCAGCTATCTTGAATAGAAGGCCAGATATTTGCAATTGAAGGAGTTGGGGGTCACCTGGTGTGAGAGGTAAAATTAGCGAGAAAATGGCCGCCAAAGTTTGCTGACTTCTAAAACTTCAGTGTACTTGGAAATTGGAAATTTAGAGGGGGGGGGGAGGTTGTGTGCCTTTAATCAGTATTTTCGATAACATCACCCACACAGAAATGCGTTATTAAAAGTACATAAAAGTTGCTGAGCTAAAAAAGAAAATTTGAAAAGAATTCCCCAACGATCGGATAAATGCCGATTTCTTTGATCCCATTGTTTTGACTAGCGCTTGATTTCATCACACTGCCTCAAATTGTAATTACAATTACTGAACGCCGAGAAATTTCTACTGAACTCCTTGCCACCTGGCAGAAAAAACGAACAGTGCATTCAAATATTTTTTTTAAATGACCACAATAATAAAACGTACCAATGGTTCTGTACGCTACATGGGTCACAAAAGGTCCAAACTCACCAAACTATCATTTATTGAGTGAAAGTGAGTGTTCCCCTACTTCACAGTTCAGTTACTAATGACACTAGTGTCCACGATTGAAGGGCTCTGATAATGACTCGAGTGCACGCCTGCGCGTGTCTATGTTTCCCCTCTCTCTCTCTCTCTCTCTCTCTCTCTCTCTCTCTCTCTCTCTCTCTCTCTTTCTCTCTCTCTCTTTTACACACACACGCGCGCGCGCGCGCGCGCGCATGCACGCACGTGCCGTTTACGATAATATTGTGACCGATAGGGAAATGAATATTATAACTTAGCTAAAATTTCACATATAAGGTCTATCCATTTTCCCATGAGTCTGACAAAGACAAGAATCAGCGTAATAAATACCTTTTCTATTGTAAACCATCATCAAGATCGTAGCAATAATAATACATATTAAGCACCACAACGCTTTTAAAATGTTTCAATAACCAACAACATGGCGACCCCTTGTGTGCACCTACGGTAAAGGGAGGCTCAATCAAACCAAGAACCCATTTCAGCCAGAACCCACATCTTCACGCATTCATGCGACTGATCGGCATTCACAAGATAGCATGAAATTAGTTTCCAATCAGCGGATTCAAGATCCGCTAGCAAGAGAAAGTTTATTCACCGATTACATAACTGAAGCGTTTAATTTTAATAGATTAAGCAGTTAAATGTTTTAAAAGCTAAATAAAAATCAAACTACTCACAATTTTCAAATATTCTATGATGTGAACAATAACAAAAATATAATCCTTGCAAGAGTATGCAAAATAAACTATAATTCTCCGTTTGCTCATATTACAGCTTCGTTGAAAGAGTAGTCACATAGCTCTAAGAACAAGAAATGTAGGTTTTCTTGCAGTGGCAATATATTATTATTTAGTTGATTATGCCCCTTGGGGTTTCTTTTATTTACTGGAGCTCTGGGGTTTCCCCCATTTATGTCTCTTTTTCACATTCTATAGTGCGGTCAAAAAATCGTAGTGCAGCTTATCCTCGAATACCTTTAACGGGTGAATCAGTTTTGTTTTTTGTTTTGTCATTTTTTATGGCGCTCGCAACTGCGTAAGATATGAGAGCGCGGGACACATGAAATATTTTCAGTTTGGTAGGAATTAATTTTGAAGTTTGCCCGGGTGTCGGTCGAAGTCTACTCTTATCGACTTTGCAGCACCAAGGGATCTTTTTGCGTTCTCAACGTGCACACAGGACCAACGACATTTTTCTCGCCCTTATCCGAGATGGCTAGGTGTTAGATCTTACCTACCCTAAGACCAGGGGCGTGGCTGAAAGACAGCAGTAAGAAGGAGTCAAGGAGTAGCAGTAAAAAGGCTGCAGCAAAAAGAGCCAGGAGCCCAGAGCAGGGGGCATATCTAAAGCGTTTGAATCGCATCTTTAACTGATCAAACAAAGTGCAATACTTGAAGATATTTTTAAAAGAAAATTTTGAGTTACTGTTTTGAATCTGCAGTTATTGTTTCCCTCACAGGTGGAGCCAAATGTAAAAAGTAGCAGAAGCATCCCCGCTCTCCCCTGCTACCATAGTTACGTTAACATTTCAAATAAGGCCTCTTTCCGAAAAGCCAGAGGTGCACCAGAACTGGTTCCTTCGTACTGCTGTCTTTCAGCAAAAATTCCAAATTAATTTCTATCAGAAACTGAAAATCCTTAATTTTAATAGTGAAAACAATCAACTTGAGTCCCTTGTGGTCATATGAAATCATGCAGTTGCGAGCGCCGTAATAGCTCTTATTCTACCAAAACAAAAACAAAAGGGAATCTCCGTACAATCCTAATACCTTTTATCTACTTCCTTTTTACGCGTTCGTGCGACTGATCGACATTCCATCAAACGGCAGAATGTCTATCGTTGTCGCGGACGTCCGCGCTATAGTGATATAACCTGTATTTCAGATTCCATTCAGCGGATGCAGGATCCGCTAACAAGAGAAAGTGGTTGAGATACGTACGATAGAGCTACGTCCATGTTCAATATATAATGCTGTAAAGTATTTAACTATTTCTAAAAGTTAAATAAAATTACTAATAACATTGAAATATTCCATGATGTGAACGACATTAAAAATCTAATCCTTGCAAGATTTTGCAAAATTCACTAAAATTCTCTGGTTGCACATTATACAGCTTTGTATAAAAAAGTAACAAAATGGTTCACTTTAGTTCTAAGAACAATAATGTAACGTTTACCTGAAACGACAATATATTTAACTGATTATGTCCCTTGACGCTTTTTTTCTTTCACTCGTGTTTTCTTACACATGTTGGAGCTCTGGGATTTCTTTATTTACGTCTCTTTGTCACAGTGCATCACGGAGACATAATAATTGATAACAAAACGGTTGAACTTTCAACCATGTTCTACCACACACTCATAAACGATATTAAGGCCAATTATTATTTCGTTGACTCTCTCTCTCTCTCTCTCTCTCTCTCTCTCTCTCTCTCTCTCTCTCTCTCTCTCTCTCTCTCTCTCTCTCTCTCGCTTTCACTCTCGCTCTCGCTCGCTCGCTCGCTCGCTCGATCTCTCTCTCTCTTTCTCTCTCTCCCTCTCTCTCTCTCTCTCTCTCTCTCTCTCTCTCTCTCTCTCTGTTTCTCTCTGTCTGTCTCTCCCTCCATCCCCCCATCTCTCTCTCCCTCTCTCTTTCTCTCTCTCTCTCTTTCTCTCTCTCTGTCGCCGCCTCTCTCCCTCTCTCTTTCTCTCCCTCTCTCTTTCTCTCTCTCTCTCTCTCTCTCTCTCTCTCTTCCCTCTCCCTTCATTCTTTTGTTTTCCTCCTAGTACGGTCCAAACCTTGTCTTGCACTGTACCCTCCAGGTTCCTCTCTATCCTGTGTAGAAGCACCCTGTCTTGACATGACAGATCTCCGGTAAGGGTGATGCTGGCTGGCTGGAGGATGTCGTTGGAGATTTGGATCACTGAGGACACATTCGTTTACTTCAAAATCTTTTGTTCTGATTATAATTTCATAGATGGCCTAAACACTAACGGGTAATTTAATGTTCGAGTAAGAGAAAGGAGAAAAGAAGATGGATGAAAAGAAGGTAGGGAAAATACAAAAAAGGGTCTACATTGGGCAACAGTTATGGCATTAGAAATTTCTACGAAGGATTTTCCACACACCCCCCTCCCCCTCCCCCTCCCCCCTGCATCCGACTGGACGTAGAGGTAGGCACTGCATCGTCGCCGATTATGCTTGTGCTGTGTTGTTCTTCGATACAAGATTGATTTATGGCTACTTTCTCGCGAATACGTAACCGTGTTGGGCAAAAACAGTAAAATTCAAGCACACATTGTAATATAGTTACCGGCGCAGTCGGGGAACGGAAAGTGCTCCTGAGGAAGCCAGGATCCGTCTTCGTAGGAGCAGAAATATTCATCTGCTGGTGGTATGGCAAAGGCGTAACCTTTACGACAGGAAATTCTGCAGGTAACACCTTTCGGTCCCTCCTCACACGAAACATTGCCATTGATGGGATGTTCGGGAGTCATGCACAGGTGAGCTGAAAGTAAATTGTGCATGTGTATAGCGAAAGACCAAAACATTAAAAGAAAACACCATATTTTACTGATCATCGTAGGAAGATAATATTATGACTGAAGATGACAAATACAAAAATGTATACATAATGTACGCTTGATTTACATCGGCACACTCATTACATGATAGGAGAATAATACATGAAGATGGATTCGCTGATAAGTCAGTTGGTATCTTGCTGAGCTAGGGTGGGAATGGACCCGGTATAAACCCCCAATTGGTTGGTTAGGTGCTTCGGGTGGCTTTCTATCCTCGTGTGGCTTCAGACAAGTCTCTTAATATACAATTTGCTGCTTGGAAAGGCAAGGGATCATTACTCAGTCGGTGTTCTGTCTCTTTGTTCTTAGGGGTGTTACAAGAAAAACAACCGATGCTCGTAAACTCAGCCCACAATATGAAACTAAGTATAAGGAAATGTATGATTGATACGTTTGAGATGCTACGCAGATGCAGGTAGTCAGCATACTGGATTGATTATCAATATTCTATAAAGATAGGAGATTGATTGGGGGAGGGGGGGCAGACACAGTACGCCATACTAAGGTATATTATGTTCCAATGAGATGGCCAATAAAATAAAATGCATTCACCTTCTCCAAAGGGGTACAGAGGATGTTTATTATTTACTCAAAATCTTGAGTTCTATAAACCATCTGATTTTTTTTTTTTTTTTTTTTTTTTTGGGGGGGGGGAGGGGGTAATACCGAGAACCAAGAACAGAATGAATTATTTCCGAAACTGATGTTCGTAAAATGCTCAGATACTCACGTATAATTGTGACGTCAATTACACATGTGCTGTTGTTGTTAGCCCCGTCAAAGGCCTTGTAGGTGACTTTTGTGGTTCCCATCGAAAAGAGTTCCCCATTTCTATGAGAAGAGGCGATTTCAACAGGCTTGCCCGAGTTGTCTGAAAACTCGGGGGGGTCCAGGTTCACTTCTACAGCCTCTACCTCAGAAACGATTGAAGGTGGGGACACACATGTGTCCACTCTTGGGGGTGTTTTGTCTGGGGAAAGAAGGTCATGTTCATAAAATGTCGTATTATCGTGAACCACATGTCTTGGAGGCATCTAGTATCCCAAAATTCACAGAGCTTGCGGCCTACTGAAATTGTTTCCTGATAATTGGTCTTGGATCCCACTTGCAATATCTTTAATAACTGGTTGCTGTTCTTGGTTAAAACATATTATGGTAGCACTTCAGAGAGATGCTAAACAGCGCCTTTCTCCAAGCCCTTCCCCTATATAGTACTACATAAACCTCTATGCTCTCTACCGCTAGACTTAAGCGTAATCCTACCTCAAACCTAAGCTAACTTGGACTTGTCATATAAGAACATGCTGAACTGATTAAAAAACTTGTAGAAATCAAGGATTCAGGAACGAGTACAAATCAAAGATTAAAAGAACCAGTAGAACTTAAGGATTCAGAAACAAGTAGAAATCAAGGATTCATAAACCAGTAGAAATCAAAAGCCACTCACCTACAACCCGGATGTAAAACTGACATTCAGCCACATTCTCGCTCAGGTCTTCAGCCTTGTACGTGATGTACGTGGTCCCTATGGGAAACCTTGACCCCGGGGTCACGGCTGGTTCAGACGTCAAGACGGGCCGGAAGCCAGAGTTGTCCACAGGCACAGGCGCCGTCCAGGCGACCTCGGTGGTTTCTTTCTCGTGGTCAGCAATGACTTCCATGGATTCCGGGCAATGAAGAACAGGCGGTGTGTCGTCTGTAACCAGCAGAACAACATTGACAATCACGGGACTTTGAGAGACGTTTTTCTTAGTTTTTATCTTTAAAAAAATAATACCAGTGTTTTCCGCTCCCATCGACACAATTTTGATAATTTAGGAAACCAGCTTCCGACCCTGCCTGTCAGGACCAACCCGGGCTGATAGAGGTAGATCTATAGCCCAGCAGGAAAAAAAAACGAGATACATGTACTTACTTACTACCCATTACGCCATCTGGCGTTTAGGGCAGCAACAAAGGATCTCCAGCTCTGTCCGTGTTGGGCCATCTTGGTCAGCGTTCCCCACGAATGATTCCAGGACTTCATTTGAGACTCTACTGTGCGTCTCCAGGTCACTTTGGGTCTGGCCCTTTTGCGACGTCCTTCGGATGTCCAGTGTCTTCACAATAGAGTCTGGTTCTCTTCTCAGAACATGTGCAATCCATCTCCATCTTCTCCTTTTTATTTTGGTGGTCATGTCCTCTTGCTACATTTTCGTAACAGATCTGCGTTGGAAATCTTGTCGTTCCAGAAGATTTGGAGGATTTGGCGTAAGCTAGTTGTATGAACGGAAGATAGCATGGCACGGTCATGATCAGTCATCCTCCAGCATCAGCTCCATATAGGAGAATGGATAGTACAGAGCTGTTATACAGCTTTAACTTGGTTTGTATGCTGAACTGTCCCGACTTCCAGATGTTGATCATGCTTCTGTGTACAGATCTTGCCTTGCCGAGTGTGTTCATGGTGTCTTCCTTGTTACCTACCTAGGCGGCATAATCAAAACTGACGGCGGCACAAAGGAGATACATGTACTCGATAAAAATTTTCCGCACTCTGGATTCGAACTTAGGTCACCTGCGTGCGACAGCGAAGCGCCAATCCGCTCCACCACTGACGCTGGTTTGGTTTTATCTGTGATGACACTGCAACAACATACATGTATTGGGCGCGCCGTTAGCCCAGTTGGTATCATGCTTCTCTACGGAGCAAAATGGCTGTGGTTCGAGTCGCCAATGGGAAATTCTGAACTACTTGTATTGCTAAGGGGAGTGTTTCGGCTCTTCACCCATTTGGCTCGGTCCTATTGGAAACGAACGCTTAATTCGGAGGTTCCGTTTTTCATAAAAATTTACTTCATTGAAAGGGGTGTTGAATCAGTACAATTTCAAAACAACACGTGTCCATTAACCCTATCCGTACATCGTGATTTACTATCGTATCCATACGACGTGGGGAACTCTGTGCCGCCACTTTCCTTAAGAGGAAATTGACTCGTTAATCCGATCTGTACGCTTTGCATAACAGTCTGACAAAATAGGTTTTTGAGAAATACTGAAAGTTTCAAAGAGATCTTAAACCCGGAACTTCCCCCAATGTGTCCCTTGTGTGACTATGCATATGAGACTGTGGATCATCATCTGTTCCACTGTACAGCCCTAAATGGCATCAGAGCTACCCTTCTCCCTCCGAGACCTAACATTGACAACACACTCTATGGAACATTACAGCAACTGCAGCAGACCTGCATTTATCACTACATGGCATTGGACAGAAGGGCGAGAGCCCAGCTGTTGCTGGATCGATAACAACAACAACAACAACAACAACAACAACAACAACAACAACAACAACAACAACAACAAAGAGATCTTCGTACTAGAAGTATTCTAAACTAAAATGTGAAGAATACAACCCCGGGAGTACAAAACTACCCCAGAGTGTACGGATAGGGTTAAGAGAATTGAACAACATATAATTCACTTTGTGCCAAAACAAATATCCAGCAAAAGATTTGGCGGAAAGTGGCACCGTAACCGACTACAACTGACAAGAACCCAATATATAATTAAGATGAAAATAGTGTCTTTCTAAAAATAAGAGCGAAGTCTACCCATTTGCTATAGTTACTTCGATGTGTCAAATCAAAATGCCTCATTACTTTAACACTGCAATCAAGTTCAGATTCTAGAGTGTTAAGCTTTTCTCTTGTAAACGAACTCACTAAATCAAATTGCTTCATTACTTTAACACTGCAAGGAAGTTTAGTTATTAGAGGGTTAAGCTTTTCTCTTGTAAACGAACTCACCAACGCACTTGTTCACCCCGTCCTCCACAGCCATCCAGGTGCCGTCAGGTGTGCACTGTTTGGTGTGGGGCCCTCTCAGAGAGTAGCCTGATGAGCATGAAATGGAGCACGTGCTTCCAAACACGACCTCACGGGCCGTGCACGAGGACGGTGCGATGGTTCCGTCTTTGATCTGAACCAGTGGAGGGCACGTAATTTCTGGGAAATGGTAGAAGGTCAGTCAATAAATCATTCAATCAATAGCTGAAAAAAATATAGATCTACTTGTCAATCGATCAACTTGGAATTTAATTAATAATTCAATCTACCAACCAGTTGATTTCTGTTTTTCATTGTATCTTTTAAAAAGTAAACGAACGTTAACGTTTTAATTCAATCAAGGTTTACCTTTTTCTTTCTGCTCATTTGCTCGCGCTCGCTCTCTCTCTCTCTCTCTCTCTCTCTCTCTCTCTCTCTCTCTCTCTCTCTCTGATTGTGACTTAGAAAGTGATGCCACTTTCATACAACTGCATCATACAACTAATATCCCAAGTGAAGTTTGTCTATTTTTTACTAAATAAATATAATAAGGAAAATCGTCCTCGAGCTAATTCATTCTCTTTTTAACGAGGTCTAAAGATCAAAAATGAGTATTTTTTGGTAATTCAGTGCTCCTGAATTAGTGATAAATAATCGGTTTTAAAAGCCCGAAAAAAAAAAAACAAACAAACAAACAAAATCGCCTACCACCACCTTCCCCCGTCAGCCGATGTAAATTCTTCGTACACCAGTGTAACAACGGTCAATGCACACTCAGTACTCACCGCGACACCTGGTGGCGATGCCGGTCCAGTAGGCGATGGCCAGACACGTCCGCTTCCGAGAGCCCAACAGCTGGTACCCGGCATTGCAGGTGAAGCGACACACGGTGGAGTAGGAGAAGTCGTCCGTGGAGCACACCATGTGGCCGCTCTTGGGAGGGGGCAGGGACGGGCAGGTTTTCACTGCGATGTCAAGGAGAAAGGGGTGCACGCATTGGTAAATAAACAAAAATAAAAACATATTTTTGGCTTAATTTTTTTTTCTTAACTCTATGCCGGGGGATGATGGATGGGATGGATTATCTGTAGATCTATGTTTGTTGTCGGTTCGCTTTGTTGTTGTTAGGGGAACAGGGGTGTGCGTTTCATGTTGTTTTCTGTTTTAGTCTGTCTCGATAGATTCTTTCTTATTTATTTCTCTTGGATTGTTGGAGGAGGGAGTTAACAATATTGCTATATAATAATGTTAACTAGATTCGACTAGTAAATTTTCTGAATACGAGGTATGTCCGTAAGTAACTTGAAAACAGCTACTAAATAAACAAATCCATACGGATTTTAATTAAACACGTACAGTATGCCTGTAGAAATACAGCTTAACTACTTCATAACGTATTCCCAACAAAGCACTTTTTTCTGGTAGTTCAACAAAAAATGTAATCGGCTCCTCGAAAAAGTTTTGGTCAAAAAGATGCAAAAAAGTTTGTTAAGCTGGAAAGTACATCCTTGGCCACGTTATCATAATATGTAGAGCAGACAAGATTGTGCTAAGCAATAAACAGTGAACGTATTTTCTGCAGTCTCATTTTGTTTTGAATACACCCTTGTAACGTATATCAATAATTCCGGGGTGGACCCCTGACAGGCAGGGTCGAAGCTTCCGCCTAAATTGTCTAAATTCTGTCAATGTGGGAGAATAAAACATCATCATTAAGAAAATTTTAACACCTCAATAAGTCCTCAATACATTTTGATTCTGGAACTTGGTTTCTCAACTACTCACTGATACACTCAGCATCCTGTCCAGACCAGGAGCCGTCGTCCTGACAGATTCGAACACTGCTCCCCCGGAGCTCATAGCCGTGCTGACAACGCAATCCACAGGCAGCATTGAAGACGTTGTTGCACTTGTTGTTGACAAAGTAACCATGTTTGGGAGGCGACAGCTCCGGACACCGGAACACTGAGGACAGATCATGGATTCTGTTTTATACTTCGCATAATATTTTATCTGTTTTGTTTCGAAGACGGAATTCCATCACATTAGTACTTTCATCAAAACGATAAGGTGAAAACTTAAAAAGCTAGCAACTTGTGTTTCACGTTAAAATGACTAAGAATGGCAATAGATGTAAAGTTTCCTAAATGGGAAAAACAGGAAATGTCTCTCTTAAAGTACAGTTACGGTACACTACAAACTAGTAAACTAGTTGTCTATATTAAGTATATGAAGTAGAATGGCACTGTAAACTGTTTAAATCATTGAAGCTACAAAAGGCTTTATTAACTTAGTACATTACAAAAGAAGATTGAGTAAATTCCTAAATTAAAACGATAAATTTACTTTTGACGTTTCGGCAATGAGTTTCCTTCAATACGACAACTTTTCAGTCTGTTTATCACTAGATAGACTGCTGCCATCGCTGAAATGCACTAGGAATATCTATATCAACTCTAGTCTACCATTTTAATGAAATGAGCCTCATTTTTTTAAAAATAAAATTTCGTATTACTGATAAAGTTTTTTTACCTGTGCACTCATCTGAACCAAAAGTCCGGTACCCTCGCTTGCAGCTGCACTCATTGGGAGATACAGCACCAGGTGTTGTGCTCTGGTGCTCATAGGGGCATGGCTGACATACGTGCAGATCTCCTTGGCCAGAGAAGTTCTTGTAGGTGCCAGACGGACATGCTGAGGAACGGAGGAAACACATGTTCGGAGGAACGGGAGGGGAGGAAGAGGAGAGAGGAGAAGAAGAGGAGGGGGGAAATCAAGGATAGTGAATTATCTCTCATTGTATGTGCACTTGTTTAGATTACTGTCACGCTGCTCTTTAAAGTGTAAGTCATTTCCGAGGTGGAAACGCATTCCTGGGGGAAATAGATTCCCCATAAGACAAAAAATGGTGCCCTGTGATTCAAAGGATGAACTTCCGTTGATTGATCAAGTTCGTAAACAGCTGCCTTACAATAGTTGGCACAGGAAAAAAGCAAGAAACAACGAGGTGGTTTTTGGGAAGTGTCATGTATATTTACCTATCTATCTATCTATCTATCTATCTATCTATCTATCTATCTATCTATCTATCTATCTATCTATCTATCTATCTATCTATCTATCTATTTATCTATCTATCTATCTATCTATCTCTTTCTCTCTCTCTCTCTCTCTCTCTCTCTCTATATATATATATATATATATATATATATATATATATATATATATATATATATATATATATATATATATATATATATGTATATAAAATTATATAATATGTGTGAGAGAGAGAGTGATTGTGTGTGTTTGTGTGTGTATGTGTGTGTGTGTGTGTGTGTGTGTGTGTGTGTGTGTGTGTGCGTGTGCGTGTGTTTACCGCGAGCGGTGGGTTGTTATGACCCAAATTGCTAAAGCACAGCACCACACGTACATGAATAATCTTACACCTCAGACCAACAAAAGCTAAAACTAGCGAAACAACAGAAAGTCAACTTTCACAAGGAAGCCTTCTCATGCTTACCATGTTTGTCTACTGCACGTCATTAGAAAACAATATAAAGCTTCTTCTGTAACCAGCGTAATATGACACAAAATCGTGTTAAAAGTGCGCTATATTCTGTAGTTAATAATACCAGGTCCTCGAAACATTCGGTGGTTGACTCTAGGTAACTCTACATGGATGACATCGATGGCTCCTGACTATCAGTTTATTGTTTTTACTCTTACGCATGGCGCATGTTGTGTGACTTCTGTTTTCTGTCTCTCACTATCGCTGATAGGGAAAGGGGAATTTGTAGAGGTGGTACGGTACTGCACGGTACGGTACGGTACGCAAGGCACCGCATCGCGTGGCATGGCATGGTTTTAAGTTTTAACACCCCTCCCTATACTATGTGATGATAGATGGAACAAAGGACTAAACTTGTAAAAGACTTGTCAAAGCGACAGTTGCTCACGTTTACAGCCACTGACGCCTCGTCCAGTGCCGTAGTATCCAGGCATACACAGACACTCGTATTTCCCCGTGTATGTCCCACAGGAACAAGAGGCGTTCTGGTGGCAACACGGCCCTCCTTTCGAGCAAAGACGACTGCACTTGGAGGCAGGCTGTTTGATGTACGACCCGCTCTGCAAATCTGGAAAAAAAGAGTAATTCATAAACAAATTCCTTCTTGACGAGTTGAAGCCAGTTTCAAAAGCATGGCATCAAATAGCGGATCCACTTATAAAGCGAACTACAGTTTTCAGCAAATCCTTCCTGTGTTGGGTTTGTGGGGCATACAAAACTAAATTGTCCAAAATCAGTTCTAGTTTTTTTTTCTGTCTGTCTCTTAGAACTATGACTGTCCTCTCTCTCTCTCTCTCTCTCTCTCTCTCTCTCTCTCTCTCTCTCTCTCTCTCTCCTCTGTGTATCTATCTATCTATATCTCTCTCTCTCTCTCTCTCTCTCTCTCTCTCTCTCTCTCTCTCTCTCTCTCTCTCTCTCTCTCTCTCTCTCTCTCTCTCTCTCTCTCTCTCACTCTCTTTTGCTCTCGGGCTCTCTCTCTCTCTCTCTCTCTCACACACACACACACACACACACACACACACACACACACACACACACACACACACACACACTCACACACTCAGAGAGAGAGACTCACACACACAGACTAACACACACAGAAAACACACACAGACTGACAAACACACACTCAAACACACATGCTAGCCCATTTTCTCTGTCTGTCTGTCTGTCTCTCCCTCTCCCCCTCTTTCTCCACCTAACACCCCCCCCCCCCCCCCCCCTTTCGTTACTCCTATAATATGTCAGCCCGGCAACTACGGGAAGAATAAATCGCATTCGGCAAGAGAGAGATATTCACACTGTCGCAAACACAGAGGTCTGTAAATTCGAAATACATAAGGGCCATTCATATTGACACAATTCGTTTAACATATTATACGTTTTCGTATCTTTGTGTGAGAAATGGATCTCTTTCTTATACGGTGACTCTGATTGAAGCAGTCCTGTTAAATGAATCTAAATTGAGTACATCGGGGATTGAAACTTGTATAATAAATTACAACCATTCAGATACCTTATTTTTTCTTACATATCAAACTATTTATAATTGTGAATATTTTTTTCTTACATATCAAACCATCGAACTAGTGTTTATAATACCAGGAAAAGGGAGAGGGGGGGGGGGTAGAATTACCAGCGTGCAAGGCCTTTTTAGCCAGTGCTTCGAATTCTTCGAAACTGTCAAGGATGTAACATGTTTCGTTCTTTGGTTCAGAGGCCATGTCCTGCAGCTCCCATACAAAGCCATCGCGTATCCCAAAAGTGAAGATCTTCACGCCTTGTCTCTTGAGTTTGTGCGCCACTGGTCGAGGGTCTCCGCCATTGGAGTAGCCATCGGTCATCAGAAATATCGCTTTTGCGGCATTCTTGCGGGCAGATCTCAGCACTTTCTGTTGGTCGTAAAGTAAATCGTGATACTGAAACGGATCTGAGCAACATAATTTGAACGACAAGGTGAATAATTCTAAACAAGGGGGGGGGGCGCATGTAGAGGTCAACAACCTCGTCATCTCTGCACCAATTTTCAATAATACTTTGACAACCCAAATTTGTCAGTAGGAAGAAAATCAACCAGTTTGTTCGAAAAATATCAAGTTTTTAATATTTCAACAGAAACTTAGTAAAACACAAAACTTAATAACTGTATTTTAAAAAATCAATCATAATGTGTATTTGCGCATCATTACAAAAAAGAGTATCCATTTTAAAGCGCAATGCTTTTCTCTGGGCTTTTTTTTTTTAAATCAAAGACAAAATCTACATTAACAATCCACAAACAATCTAACAGGTAAAACTCAGGGTTGAAGAGGAGGTCCAAAGAATCAACCAAGGATTATTTCAAATTTCCAGCGTCGTATTTGAGTTCGTCTGGAGAGAAGCGACCATTGTCTGAGGCATAATGTAATCAAAATAGCCACCGCTTTTCCTAGGTTTGTTTGTCAATGTGAGTTTCAAATAAATTCGTTCTTTAATGCACAAATACACTTTTAGGTTGAATTTCAAGCAGTTGTAAAGCTTTGTATTTTTCTCAATTTGGGTTCTAATTTTCTAAACTTGACATTTCTCAAATCGTTGTTTTAAATGTATATATTAACAAATTTGGGGTTTCCTTGGCTGAATTTTGCTTAGTACAAGTTTTGTTAAAATTCGTACAAAGATGACCAAGTTTTTGCCTTGTTTTAACATTCTGAACACATATATATGGGAGAATGTCCTGCCTACCAGTAATATGCCTCAATACGTGTTTCTTGTGTTAAAATGGCTGTAACACATATTCCTAAAAATAATCACAAAACGAAACATGCAATTCAAGAACTCATTCCTCGACTTTATAGTTTTCGGTGGCTGGGGGCTACTGACTAAAGTGTCGTTAGGCCATTCCCAAAGGGGAGACATTAGCATGGTCTTATGCTCCGTAGAATTGTACATGGGCTGATTCATCAATGCCATGCTCATAACTGTGACTGAGCTGCATATGGGAACTGCTGCTTTTTCTTTCCTAATCCTTACTACAGTCATTTTTCCTCTACTTCTTTTGCATGTTTGTAACTCTCTTGTGACCCGCTATTTCAGGGGTGCCTTAATAGTCGAAGCAGACTTTGTGCTGTTGAAGCTAGAAAGGTGAGTAGAGTAAGCCTCATTCCCTGTTTGGACTTCTCTGTTGACTTCCACCCCTTAGCGCTCATATAACCTTACGCAAGCGCCGTAAAAACTCTACTAAAACTTAAAACTAAAACTGTTTTTGTTCATGTCTAATTACTCGCCTTTTAGCTGAAATAAGTACTGAAAAATGAAATAAATTTTTCAAACAAAAGTAAATCATGGACACTAGCAGCAGAATTAGAGAAAAGGATTCAGACCACAGAGATGAGATGTTACCGCCGACTCCTTGACATCTCGTACAAAGACCACGTTTCAAATGCTGAAGTACGAAAGAGAATCATCAACGCAATATGAAGATCTACTGACTACAGTGAAGAGACGAAAACTAAAATGATATGGGCATGTCACAAGATCCACAGGACTTGCCAAAACAATCCTGCAAGGAACCATACAAGGAAAGAGAAAGAGAGGAAGGCAGAGAAGGAGATGGGAGGACAACATTACAGAGTGGACAGGAAAGACGATGGGTGACAATCTGAGGAGAGCAGAGGACAAAAATAGATGGCGAGAGCTGATTTTCCAATGCAGTGGTGCCCCAACGGTTGCCCCAACCACGGGATAGAAGAAGAAGAAGAAGAAATCATACTTTCTAATCTAATTAATTTTGTTTTCTAAAAAAACCTCTTCAGGTAATACGATTTGTCCTCGTTAAATCAAAGTGAGATTTCATTGTAGTATTCATACCTCCGCCTCTAGAAGAGCTCCGAGAGTGTTGGTCCCACCGGGGGTGTAATCCACTTCCGTGATGTCTTCGTTGAGCAGACGACACTTGTGATTCTCCGAATCTGGACGAGACAGGTAGTCAATATGGCGGAAAATCTTGTGTGGAGACGAGAACGTGATCACAGACACCCTAGTTGTGTTCACGTCGACCGTAAAATCAGCGAGCAGGTTGCGAACAAATCTGAAACAGTGAGATAAATAAGTGCAACTTAATAAATAGTGTGCTATATGATTTAAAGAAAAAGACGAAGGTTAAGTTTAATTGGGACCGGGGACCATGGTTGAGCGAGGGAGGGCGCTCCGTGTAGAAGCTGGAACCCTCTCTAATAATATATTTGTTCTTGTTTTTGGTTTTCTTTATTTGTTTGTTTGTTTGTTTTGAGAGGAAAGGGGTTGTTGTGTATTTTTCTGCGTTCTCCCTCTCTTTTATAGCTTAAATTCTATGGAGCCACAAACATACTATTTAAGTGTCGGCTTATGATGTGACTCGATTATAAATTATGACCGTTACAGTTTTCTTTAATAATAATAGATAGCATTTGTATAGCGCAAATCCCCGCTCAACAGCAAGCTCTATTCGCTTCACAATCTATACTATTACCCCAGCAGACCTGAGAGCATTCTGAAACAACCTCAACTTCCTGGGAAACATACAGTGCTAGCAGCCATTCATAGGCGCTAAAACACTAACATACTGACAAGATCTTTCGCTGTCTATTTCAGTGTACCAAAGACGTGGATTGCGTATTTGTGCAGCAAAGCAGACTGGTTTTGACTCATGACAGGCGTGTTCAGCGTTGTTGTTTGAATAAAACACGTAATATAAATGCATGTTATTATTCAAGTTTTGTTTTGTTTTGTTTTTATATAGATTTACGCCCCTAACGTTCAATAATTATTCTTGCTTATTCGCCAACATTAAATTGTCCACAAATTCCGCCTGACGTTGCTCAAGTCATGGGCCTGGGAGTGAAGGGGTTAATGCGGAACTCAACAGAATCTTGCAATACTGGAGAAATGAAAATGTTTACCCTGAACTCTCATGTCACGGACAAAAGCCCCTATCGACACAATTTAGGTCATTAAGGGGGCGGGCTTCCACCTTTCCTGTCATAGCCAACCCGGGCTGAAAGCAAAATTACATCTAGCAGAAAGACCGAGATACTTGATAATCATTCTCCCCTCACGGGAAACCTAGGCCTTCTGTTTGCGACGGTGAAGGACCGAACCACTACACCACTGAGGTCGGTACATAAGATATAAGTGTGTCTGTCTCTTTGTTAGTATTTTCGTGTGTGATGCATTACAGCAAACGTAAAAGTGTTGCCTAAATACAAATTGATTGATGGGTTGATTTGCTGATTGTTTCTTTGGCTAGATGGATGCATGGATGGATGAAATGATCAACAAAAGTGAGCACAAAGAACAAATTGAGACAGACAAGATACATGTATACACAAGAAGACATTTCACATTTTAAGAAAACTTCATTCTACCTCTCTTTACGCTATCGTTGTGCAAGATGCTTCTTGTTATAATCCCGGGCGCGTTGTATTTCTTTCTGTATTGTATGTAGTTATTATTATTATTATTATTATTATTATTATTATTATTATTGTTATTATTATTAATATTATTATTATTATTATTATCATTTTTATTATTATTATTATCATCATCATCATCATCATCATCATCATATTATTATTATTATTATTATTATTATTATTATTATTATTATTATTAATAATAATAATAACATTTTATTATTATTATTTTAATATTAGGGTGGGGTGGCAGAGCGGTTAGTACGCTCGTCTCCAAAGTGGAAAGTCTGGGTTTGAGCCTCAGTTCGGACACGGATTTTTTTCGGCCCCTCCTGCCCAGCCAGCAGTTATGGGTACCTGACTTCGAGTTGGGGAACTAAAGGCGGTGTGGAAAGGAACTGGCCACCCTACCACAATATGCCGAAGGCCCAGGAAGTTGTCTCACTAACAAGGCAATCACCAATGTCCTGATCGGATGCGGGAACAACTTTACTTTTCTTTTTCTTTTAATATTATTATTGATAATAACGTAGCAGCAGCAGCAGCAGCAGCAGCAGCAGCAGCAGCAGCAGCAGCAGCAGCAGCAGCAGCAGCAGCAGCAGCAGCAGCAGCAGTAGTAGTAGTAGTAGAAGTAGTAGTAGTAGTAGTAGTAGTAGTAGTAGTAGTAGTAGTAGTAGTAGTAGTATAATTTTTATTTTTATCATCATTGTGATGACTATCATTATAATTATTATTATTATCGTTATTATTATAACTAGTATTACATATAATATTATTATTAAGACTATTGTTATTATTTTGATGTGTGCATGGGTTGTGGAATACCTCGAAGAATAGGCTGGAAGTATAAAAATGAAGTGTGAAAAATGTATATTTTGTCACAACACGAAGTCAAAACATTGTACCGTATTTACTACAAGGAACAAGGGGGTTACGGTTTTAAGTTTTGCTTAGCCCGAGACTAGATCTATAATTGCATGTATTAAATAGGTTTTTTCGGGAGCGAGAGTGAGAGAGCGAGAGACAGCGAGAGAGAGAGAGAGAGAGAGAGAGAGTGAGAGAGAGAGAGAGAGAGAGAGAGAGAGAGAGAGAGAGAGAGAGAGAGAGAGAGAGAGAGAGAGAGAGAGAGAGAGGGAGAAAGACAGAGAGAGCAACAGAAACACGTGAGGGTGCGGGGAGCATGGTCTCTTTCACTGGTTAATTTGACATTTCGATATATGGTGAGGTCGATCTTTGGATCTTTCTCCATCTAACTTCCCCTGCTTCCCTATCCTAGCAGTTCTATAAAAATGAGTATCATTGCCTGTTCATGTTAAGGATAAATGAATACGTACCTTCTTCTATTTTAATTCATTCCATCATGCTCATCCTCATCGAACCTTTTATCTCTGTAGCTCCCACCCTCCCCTCCACCCCCCCCCAAAAAAAAAGAAAGAAACAATCCGCAGTCCCAGTTTTAAGGATAGCATTTAATTAGGTAACTAACCTCTTCCTCATAGAAATAGTTTAATGTTCAATTATTATTCTTGCTATTTCTCCAATATTAAATTGTCCACAAATTCCCCCTGATGTTCCTCAAGTCATGGGCCTGGGAGTGAAGGGGTTAATGCTGAACTCAACAGCATCTTGCAATACTTGGAGAAAATTAAATGAAAAAGTTTACTCTGAACTCTCATGTCACGGAGAAACTGTCTAAACCCGAAACAAAGCGATTTCCCACGCATTGCTCGTACAGGAAACAGTATTGCCACTTGAAAGGAGGGACATTTGGGTGGGTGCGATTACTTATTACCGGCCCTTCATTTATTTGGTCATTTCACCACCCTATCAATTTATTGACTACTTTTGTAGAAGTTTATAAAAAAGTATCATTGAGGACACAGTAATAATAGATGTACGTAAGAGAGAGGGAAGCCCCGTTATTTGAGCTTCTTTTTCTGCTTCAAAGACCCGTTATTCACAAGATTTGCAGGGCGCTATTAAAAACAAAAACGGAAAAAAGGGTATATTCCTTGAAAGGGTTGGAAAAAAAGGGGGGGGGGGTATGGCTAAAAAGAGATCACATAAATTAAATGTCAACATGTGTTCAGAGTGCAATCACTCCAAGAGACTAATTAACAATCACACTGTTGTTAACCTGGAGGTTCTTTTTCATCGGATACTATTCTGGAATTTTAAAATGTTTTTTTTTAATCAAGGGGAAAACAATAACAATAATCTGGCGGGTGAAGAGTGACCTTGAGAGAAGCCCAAAGAGTCCGGCGAGGGACGTGGGAGTATTGGCCACGCCCACCAAGATTGGACAGCTACTTCTTGTGCTTTCGGAGCCGCTTGCGACACATGAAAACCAAAAAACCTACTGATAGGCTAATTCTCTGAGAGAAAAGGGGGCGTGCCATTAACCCAATTGGTATCATGCTGGACTATGTAGTGGATGGCCCTGGTTCGAATACCAAGACTTGACGTTCTTGAAATCTGGTCGTTTTCTTGAGTTTTCAAGGTTCTCAGCCCAGTACATTTAGTCTTATCGGAGACATACATTATATTCAGAGGCCCCGCATCTTAATCAAATAGCCTTATAGTATTCATTTACACTCACTCCCTCACTCACTCACTCACTCACTCACTCACTCACTCACTCACTCACTCACTCACTCATTCACTCACTCACTCACTCACTCACTAACTTACTTACTAGAGAGCAGGGAAAGGATTTGAAGGGACACCTAACATCAAAGGGTTTCAATCTTACCTGACTTCCTCGTAGAAGTAGTACTCGCCCACTGTCCCCGAACTGTCGATAAGGAACACAAGCTCTACCTGCCGATTCGGAGTGTTCCGCAGGTGCTGAACGTGTCGTTTGAAAATAGCTCCCAAAGTCTCCACCTTAGCCTTCTCGAAGTTTAAGGTCAAACTCCTCATGAAAGTGTTGTAAGACGAAGGTCTCCTGAACAGCGTCCTTGCCTCACTCGATTGCACAAGAAGGCAACCGATCACGGTCAAAGTTAGCACAGGTAAGGATCCCATGATTTCTGTTGGGTCTGGAATGTGTCTAAATTAACTCCAATACCCGCAAGATGATAAGTCCATGGGTCCTTAGCACGGTCACATCAATACCATAATTTACGCTTTTAGGAATTGCCTGTTGTATTAAATCACAATGTTTGAACAATCAAGTGTACTTCAGTATCATAATGTGAAGCCAGTGATTAGAGAAAAAAAGGCAAGAAAAATGCCACTTATATTTACACTGTTCGAGAAAACTCAAGTAAAGTGTGTTTGTGAACTGTGGGTAGTTGGCGAATGCTTCGTGTGGTTAGCTAATTCTTTCCTATCAAACATCTATCGTCCTCCTTTTTTTTTCTTTGTATGTTACTATCTAGCAACACCTCTAATTTTCGGTACTTATATGACTTATTTGTATTGTAAGTGTCGTAAATCTTGACGGTATACTACATACATAATATTAGTTTGGAAATTGCATGATTTAATAACATTTAAAGACTTGTTTTTGTTGTGGTCTTT